GACACAAAATATAAAAATGATATTAAACAATTGGATATCTGAAAAATTAAAATAAATGGATTTTGGTAATTTTGGAGCTTTGTGATTTAAAGTTGCCAGATGTTGAAAGCAATTGGTGCTTTGTAATATAACTCTGGTATAACGGCGTAATATCCATGGCAAATGGAGGAGCAGACACCAACGGATCACAATTCTTCATTACTACTGTGACAACTAGCTGGTAATTAACTATGTACTCCTCTCTATAGGAACTTTTCCAGCATTTACTAGAGAAATACACATCCTGCATAGAGGTGGCACTGTTTTGGTGGCCTGCCTAAGCTAGCCCACATTTTTAAGGGCTTTGAATTGATAATTAGGCTTATTGGGCCAGGCTGGCCTAAACTTTTTAAATGCTAGTGTCAATTCATCTGAATTGGTCAACTCTATATAACTTACAATTAGTCAGATTTGTGTTGTATGTTTAAGTGTTGTGCTCACAATTGGTATGTTTTCATTGTCTCTGCTCGTTTAAAGCCTCTTTTCTCATGAATTTTGGGTTTTGTATGTTGAAAAATGTTAGTCTGAAAGTTTGGGTTTGTCTGTATGTTTTACTGTAATCATGTAGTGTAGAGGACAGGAAACTAGGAATTACCAAGAACTTCGTGTAACACTTTTTGTGGACTTGTAAAAGGAGAATAAAAAATGTGAAATGAGTTTTTGGATGCCATTATCATATTTGTGCATTTTTTGTATCATCAAAAACCAGAAGACCAGTTAGGAGATGCAGTCACCAGAACAGCAAAACAATATTCACAACAAACCGACAAAATTTGGCACATGGTGAAGGTATAGGTATGGTGGTTGCAAATGAAAACCACACCCCAAAATAACATTCAAATTAACTTTCTAGTTTTGTTAATCACTCTGTTTTTAATTGTTTTAGAGGGAATCTCTGAGTTCGATGGAAAATGATAGAATATATTGTTATTGAAATAATGACATTTAAAGTTTTTTGAGGAAAACAATGAAATTGTTTCAAGTGTATTTATTTTATTTTATTTCAAGGACTCTACTGCAGAGCTCTTCATGGGCATCTTCTTACTGTCTGCCTTTGCTGTAATTAGTAATATAGAATTCAACTGTTGACTCGCTGGAATTGGTTTCAATGTTTTTGGTTTTTGGTTTCTTCTTTTGCTTTTAAAGTTATGATTTTGGGGGATATGGTTAGACTTCTCAAGACAGTTTTTGGGTTAGGATTTTTTTTATTTTATTTTTTATGTTGTTATTAAATTTCATCACCTTTGGATACTTCGACCATTTTAATTATTTTCTTGTGTACCAGACTTCAATATAGTAATAATACCCTTCTGAGGTGGTCCACTTATCCTGATGAGCTGAGCTGACCCTTTTTCTTCTCTCTTTTGTGTTGTTGAATAGCTTTGACAATTTTATGCAACTTGTGATTGGTACATTATGAACACCCATGAGCTGAGTTGAGCTAACCTGGAGCTGAGCTGCACCTTTGGACTCTATGCTGGCTTCTTTTCTTTTTGGTAACAGGTGATTGGATATTGAAGACAATGCCATGATGCAAATCGCACCATTAATTGCTTGTTTATCAGGGATTGTTGAGACCATGGCTTATGATTGTGTTTTATTTATTTTTTAATTTTTTAATAATTAAAAAAAAATCAATTCATTATGTAGTTACTATATATGCATTTTGCACCTGAACATTAAATTTTTGTACATGAGTATTTGAATGTCTGACATGTGCATGGAAATGGTATCTTTGTCCCTTCAAGACTAATTGATGAGCTGGATTTACTATGCATTTAGAGGCCCTGAGGTGTACCAAACACTGTTCAAGAAGGGGACTAAGGAGGCCCAGGTTTCAGATTGCAATCTCCAGCTCCCAAACATGGCAGAAGATGATTTCTCTATGATGAAGAACTGGGTTTCAAGGAATTATTACCCTGCAAGTCATGCATTGGACAATGGGGTTGAATCTGGGTCTGTGAGTGCATTGGGGTATAGGGATTTGCAGTCACTGAGCTTGCCCTGGCTCCCAATCAAGCTGTGTTACTGGTTCACAGCAGATCTCACCCACTGTTACTGAGTGTGTAGCCATGGAGGGAAAGAAAAGAGGGTCTGAGAAGCTTGATCAGAAGCAGGTTGTCCATAGGAAGTCCATTGATACATTTGGACAGAGGACTTCACAGTATAGAGGTGTCACAAGGTTAGTTCTTTAATCTCCTTCCATCTCTTTTCTGTAATATGCTAGATGTTCTTTGTTATTGCATCTGTCTATCTTTTTATTTTATTATACAAAATGCATACCTTTCTTCCTACATCATTCATTATCCTGTTAGGAATTAATCACACCTAACTAGGATTGGCTCACAAAAAAACAGAAAAGAATAAATGCATAAGAATTATAAATCACATGCATATACAAAAATACAAGATTTACATAAATTACCCAAAAACGATCCACAAATTCATGATCGCTGCAGTTGCACTGAATAAAAAAGATTACACAAAATATATAGAGATAGGTGCCCCTCGCAACCACATGCATATAATTAGAGCAATGTATCACAAATGCATAAATACCAAAAATACCCTTACTCCAAATTCAGTATCAAATGGCTCCCTATCTAGTACTTCCCCAAAAGCAATATATTGCTTCATGATCTTGCTGTGTTTGCATTTTTTCAATTTCTCTCTCATTCATTCTTGTGAGTTAAGGGTGGCTTGGCCTAACGATAAGTTTGCTATTGACATCTCTGGTGGTACGTGTTCAAGTCACTGCAACAACCTCTCCAAAAACAGGATAAGACTTTGTACATCTTGTTCTCTTCAAACCCTGCATTAACGGGAGTCTAGTGTACTGGATCACCCTTTATTTCTTTTTATAAGTCGTGTTTCCCTTGTTTTCATGTTTAGTACTTTGATTTTCTCTCTGTGGATTATCATCCATCAGGCATAGATGGACTGGTAGATATGAAGCCCATCTATGGGGCAACAGTTGTAAGAAAGAGGGACAAAGCAGGAAAGGAAGGCAAGGTTAGTGAAGGAAACATATAATCCATTCACATTGCCTCCTTAAGATTTTTACTTTGCCAGGCCCTGCATTGTTGGCCATCTTTTGTTGTTCAAGTGACTAATATACTATTCTTTCCTCATTTCTCATGTTCTTCATTGCTGGGTGATACCAATAATGACTATCAGTTTATCTGGGTAAGTCTTGTTATTGACAATGATTGAGTAATAAGCATGTTCTTTCCTTCAATTCTCATAGCATCATCATTGCCAAATACTAATTTTCAGGGGGTTATGATATGGAAGCAAAGGCTGCAAGAGCTTATGATTTAGCTGCACTCAAGTATTAGGGCCCTTCGACCCATATCAATTTTCCGGTGGTTCTCTGACCCTCTCATCAGCTTATTTCATCTAACAATTGTTTTGTAACTGACATGGGACTCTGTATATTGATGATTTAGCTGGAAAACTATCAACAAGAACTTGAACATATGAAGAACATGACCAGACAAGAATATGTTGCTCACTTAAGAAGGTATAGTCTATCCCCTTGTATATTAGACAACAATGTTTGTTTTCTTTGTTTGATGTGTTTTTATCTCTAATATATTGATCTTTGCAGAAAAAGCAGTGGCTTCTCAAGGGGTGCTTCAATGTACAGAGGAGTCACAAGGTCTTACTATTTTTTGCACATACATCTGTTAATCTATAATTTTTGTTGGCACACTTCCTTTAATTATAAGTAGAAGTATATTTGATGTACATCTCGTCGTTCCCAGACCCTGCCTTTCTTTATGGGTCTCTAATTCTGATGTAATCTTCAACAGACATCATCAACATGGACTCTGGCAAGCTCGGATAGGCAGAGTTGCAGGAAACAAGGACCTTTATCTAGGGACATTCAGTGAGTTCCTTTGCATCTTCTCAATTTATTTGGGCAAAAACGTTTTCCCGTAGACATCTAATTGCTAAAAAATCTTCTCATTTCAAATTCTGCCAAGACATTAGTGGTTTTGCTACATAATTTGCTAAAAAAATGCAACTATTTAAATGCAATCTGTGGCTTTCTGTTCTTGTACTGGTTTTGATTTCATTTCGATCTGGTTCTGATTTAACTGCAATTTTCAGGCACCCAAGAGGAAGCTGCTGAGGCCTATGACATAGCAGTAATAAAATTTCACGGGGTTAGTGCTGTCACTAACTTTGACTTAATGGGTATTGTGTATTTATTTTGTATTTTGTAGTTTCTGTCAATGAAGTTAGCTTCTGTGAATCCAAGGTTGGAATTTAACATGGATAGTCTCTTGTCAAAAGATGTGAGTATAGAAACTTGTAAAATCAATTTCTTTTATCTATTGTGATGTTTTTTTCTAAAATTGGTTGTAAATTCCGGGTATTTCAGCCTAATGGCTCTTTCCCACATCAAACATACCCATTAAATTGGTCAAGAACCCAAACCACAATACAGGATTTCAATCATCCCACATGAAAATTGAACTGTGGTCACCATTGATTTGTCCTCAACTCAAGGCCCAGAGGCTGCTGTATATTAATGGATTTTTTTTTACGAGAAATATTAAAAGAAAAATCTTGATGCTTACCTAAAATATAGTAGAATCACAAGTTGCTTCATTCACCAACTAAATTTGATTTGTTGGATGAAGAACTGTGTTGAATCAAGAAGGGTTGACTTTTGTTAAATCTATTTTCTATAACAGCTTTAGATATGTTACATATGATCTCTATAATTGAAATTGGTTTGATCTGTTTTTGCAGGAATAGTATGTATCCTGGGCAGTTGACTCGTCTCTGTTGTGAACTACAACTCTTTATGAGTTCAAGAAGAGCATACAGTCTCTAATGTTTTTGTAGTGGAAGTGGATAGAACCATAGATAGACTTGTGGATAGAACCATAGATAGACCTGTGGATAGAACCATAGATAGACCTGTAGACACCAATGCTTGCTTAAAGATGGGTTTTAAGCCACTGGTTTGGTATTGTCAGCCAGTGGCAAATGGACACTTTGGTTGTTTTCATCTACAATTTGGTTCTTGTGGGCCTGTGCTTATATCGAATATGGCTGACTACGAAAAATTTATCGCTATTTTTTAGTTTTTTTTATAGGTATTTCTTTAGTTCAATAACATAAAATTAGAACAATTTTAAAAAAAAAGAAAGGGGCTATCACGGCGTTTCTAAAAACGTCGCTAAATAGCATACCAACAGTTGGAGTTTTGAAAAACAGATACGGCGGCGTTTTTAAAACGTCGCTAAATAGAACGGTGATGTCATGTTACCGTTAGGGGAACTTTTAGCGGCGTTTTTCTAAAACGCCGCCTATAGTAATATAGCGACGTTTCTAAAGCACCATAGAGTTATAGCGACGGCCGCATCTTCGACGTTTGATGATAAACGCCGCACAAGGATTTAACGGCGTTTTTAAGAGTTATAGCGGCGTTTTTTAAACGCCTCTAAAACTCTAATTTCCAGCAGTGAAAGGTTCATGGGTCATGCCACGTGGGCGCCCAATTTTCAACATCTCCCACTCGCACATGAGTTGGCATGACACTGCCACATCTCTGTCTCAATCTCCTCAAAAATGAACAATCTCATACTAGCCAATGCATCGTGTGACCGCTGAGAACACCTGCATGTGGGAGCTCTATACTAGAAATTCAATATGAGTCAGCACACAGACATCAATCCAAAAATGAATAGAAATAGTGTCTCATGTACCCAGACCCATCTAGCTACATCGGTCCAAAAAACATTTCTAATCCCTCAAAGAGCATGTTTGACTCTCCTAGGTCCCGTATTATATTCACACCCAATCAGCATCCCATAGAGAGCGATGTGAGTCGTTGACAGTGAATATAGAGTAGAGATGTAGAACTAGATGATCATCCCTTCACCCTCATATCATTTAATTTGAAATTGACTGCTTTCCCAGTAATGTCCCTTAAAGCCGAATCATACATGACCGTAGGCAACATACCAAAGTAGCTGAACATCAACTCCTCATCTTATGAAATAGTCAAAGGTCACAAAAGGCACAAAGTAAAGTCATCGAATCATGCATGACCGCAGGCAACATACCAAAGTAGCAGAACATCAACCCCTTACCTTATGACATAGTCAAAAGTCACAAAAGGGTACATAAATGAAAGTCATATCAATAATGACTCGTAAGACTCACACGGTGAGGAAGCAGGGATCCATTCTCTCACCTCATTACTCGGTCGCCCAGCACATATAGTATGAATACATGCTACGGTGGAGTAACTCTTCCATAAAGAGTGACGTCATACTCGATACACCGTACAGATATTAGTCTAGTCGCTTTCTAGCGCCTAACCCGAATTCTCTATTTGCTCGCCTTCTAGGCGCCAAGTGAGATCTTGTATCTGGCTAATCATAACAGGCACAACATGGAAAGTGGGTACTAACATCCATGTTTGGTCCTTAACTTGACCTCATCTTGGTTATAACCAAGGAGACATACATAGTGGATGATTTAAGCCTCTCTTGGCTCCAAATAAAAAAATCACTAGTCTCATCCTTGCTCGCTCCCAAGCGCCAAGGGCGATTGCTCGTGTGAGTGAGCCAATCTTGCCTGCTGACATCATAATCTGCTAACCATTATGACACAAACCATAATAGTGTCAACATCCCATCATCTCAAAATAAGTGATCGATTTAAAAAAAAACCACAGCTTGCGCAATTATAGATTCCAAACATAAGCCTTATCAGCACCTCTTGCGATAAGTATATACAACGGAATCCACCATGTGCGCCTCATATGAAGTAATTTAAGATCACTACCTCTTGCGCAATAACCTGTCTAAAGATATTTTGGTGACCAATTTGCGTTCATTCTTAATGCGCCCAACTAGCACAAATGCGCCCAACTAGCGCATTGAATCTTACAAGGAGCAAATTAATATACTACTAGTAAAGCATTTTATCCACAGTCTAATGAGCAAGGTCAATGTCTAAACAACTCAGTTGACCATTTACCAAAGATAACACTTATCATGTCGAATAGGCCCACATAGTGTACTTTAGGCTCCCACAACAAAGAAAAGATCAAGGAATATAGGTCATCTGTTTTTTCCAAAGACAATCCGAGGATTCACTCAATAGCTAAGGCTCTGGCTTTTACCAATAGATAAGTCAATAGGTTTGCAATTTTGCATCTAGAATTGTTCTAGGATATTCCTTATGTAAGTCATCAAAGACAAACCGAGAATTTTCCTAAAACAATCCCAAAGGATCGTACATCCGAGCATATAAATTACATCACCCATGTCCATCATATCTAAAATAGAGGACTGCGCACCCTAGGTGGCGACAACCTTATAAATTCCTGGCTCATAATGACTAAGTAAGGAAAAACTTCTTTTGGACCATTGATCATGCCTCAGTGGTCTTCATCGATCATCGTTGGCCTATCATGGCTTGACGAAATCTAAGAACCACTATTTGGATAACTGTTTTAGGCTGTAAAAGATTTATTGGAACTAGCAACCTTTTTGCGCTCCTAATTTCTCAGCAGAAGGTAAATCCCTACGGATCTACTTATCCAATTCTCTAATGAGAAAGTTGGGTCACAATGTCCACAAATCAATGTTCCGAACTTATGTCAATCATAGCCTAAGTCAAAATAACCTCACTCCTCAGGAGGAAGTCTTCTTATGGTCTACACTTTCCTCAATGGTGCGACAATCCTCAAAGACTTTGTCTTAAACTGCGCAACATTGATCCACTTTTTTAAAACAGGGGACTAGAGCCTTTGGCATTATCCTAGGCTCTTTATCATCTTGCGGAGCAATCATGAATGTTTCTCTCTCAATCACCCAGTAATGACGTTGAAAATTTTCACATTTGCTACCACGCAACTAAGAATGTAGAGTATTCTTCTCTAATGGATTAATCCATTAATAGGCATATCGCTCCCACTGTCCCTAGAATATTGGAAATTTCTTTCCATTCTTAATTAGGCTACATAAAAGCGCTATGGTTAGAATTCTCTATCTTATAGAGTTTCAAAAACTCTATTCATGTCACCTTTACTAATAAAACTTTATGTGACTTAGTTACACTACCACAAAGCTGCTTACCTATATGCACATGACCCAGAAGGTTTGCATGACCGCATAGAATAATGCGCCACACGACCCTTTGTGTTTACAAGACAGCATACGATAATGCGCTATAGAACCCTAGGTCTTAACTTCACAATCTTATGGGAAGTAAAATAAAGATAAGCTGCTTAACGGTTACAGATCGCCCATAGATGGCTCCCCGTTAACCTATTACTCAAAATTAGAGTGTAAAATCTGATATGGAGGGCTTTAGTTAGGGATATAGGCAACAAACTAGTGCAATTTCCAATTGGGAAACATCTTGCGCCATTATCCACCTAACATTAACAATATTTAATTCCTTATCTCTACTACACCATTGTGTTGTTGAGTACTAGGAATAATCAATTTTCTAAGCATCCATCTCTCTTTACAGAGTTTTCTAAAAATTATTCAAATAGATACTCGCCACCTTGGCCAAAACTAAAAGCACGAAAGCTGTTATCTAATTGATCTCAACCTCATATGTTCAATGTCAAAAATCATCTCAAAACTTTTGACTTATGGGAGATCAAATAGTCTTGACTCAGATGTGTATCGTAATCTATAAATGTGTCGAGATGGAGGCTTAGCTATCATACCCTTACACATATCTAGTCACAAATATCGTAGTGGACTAAATGCGCCAAAACAAATGACCTTCTACGACTTTCCTACTTACTTGTGCACACCCATTGCGAACAAAGTTACACATTCACATGAGAGCAGGATGTCATAAGCGAGTGGGCCCGAGAAGGCCTACTTAAACCATCATGTCATCATCTCATTAATGTGATTAAGTATAATAAGCCACTGGTTCATGACTAATGTCATAAACTAATTCCAATCATCTTCATGTGTGAGTTCTCGAAGACAAGTTTTAAAGGTTTAGGCCCAACTAGGTAATAACTCACAATAAGGTTGTAAATGGTAATAACTTTAACCAATGTCAAATGCCTGTGTCACTACTTTGGCTGACATGGAGCTTCATAGATCAAAATGCTACCTTGGTGACTATCTCTTCTCCTTTTATTTATTTAATTTTTAAATTTCCCCAGCTATGAGGATGCAAGAAGACTACGGGTTGCTGTTATCCATGGATTGGCACGAATGGCTGCAATCATGGCCTCAACTTACAAGGCATATTTGGGTGTAGGCCTTGGCCCATTATCGGTAGGAGTGTGATAAACACATGCTGTTGCCTAATTAAAATAAACTCAAGTTTTCCGTGGAGTTCTGCATGCATTTCATAACAGCTTATATTCTGTTTTACAGTTTTTGACAAAGTTTAGGATACCACATCCAGGAAGAGTTGGAGGGAGCTTTTTTATCGACCTTGCAATGCCTTTAATGTTGAGTTGGGTCCTCGGCGGTAATGGGTCATTTGGTGCCTTTCACCTATCTTATAGTCATAGGTTATGCTAAATGAGTTTAGTTGCTTGATTAAAATAATAGAATAATTAAATGATTTTTTTCTTCTCCAACATCGTTTTGCAGGTAATGATCAGGAATCTTGGTAATTTCCTTTGATGCAAGTTCAGGGGATTCACATCTTTTTTGTCTACAAAATCATGTGAGTTTTTGAAGTGCCATCATTGTGAAATAAAATTACTTTTTTATATAATTCAGTCCCTCAAATGTCTATTATAGTTAGATTGTTGTTTTCTTAAGGAATATTAAAATGTCTATGGCCAATCACTATGTGCACCACAAAACACCTCTTTTGAATATGATGAGCGTAAAGCATTTGGTGCTGGATTTCTTATGAAGGCAACCCTATTGCTTCTCAAATAAAATCCTCCACACTAACATATAATGTAATGATACTGTTTCCATTTTTTTTATAAAGTAAACTTTGTACTGGAAGATTACTAATATGCTCTCATTTTTACTGGGAACTTAAAGATAAATAATGGGTATTGTGTATTCATTTTGTATTTTGTAGTTTCTGTCAATGAAGTTAGTTTCTGTGAATCCAAGGTTGGAATTTAACATGGATGGTCTCTTGTCAAAAGGTGTCAGTATAGAAACTTGTTGTAAAATCAATTTCTTTTATCTATTGTGACGTTTTTTTTCTAAAATTGGTTGAAAATTCCAGGTATTTCAGCCTAATGGCTTTTCCCTCATCAAACATACCCATTAGATTCCTCTGCTTCTGCTTTCTTTGGACAACAGACCCAGGAATTTCCACCAGTACATACTAATCTTTCCAATGGGGACCATACAAGCACCACATTATGCCAAAACAACGGCATGCAATTACCTCCGGTCGATGAATTCGGCCAAGGTATTCCATAGGTATTCAAATGCTGGCCCATTCCTGAAGAATTTGGTGTTGTCTTTGTTTTCTCCATTTTCATATTTCATGTTTCAGTAAGGAAAACAAAGAAAAGTTGGAAATACCCAAAAATAAAATAAAAATTTGTAAAGAGTTTTTTGAAATAATTCTGTGTTTTTTAGCATTGAAATAGAAATTAAAATACAACTACACAGCCCTTTTAAGTTTTTCATCATCTAATTCTGCTTTTCTCAACTTGAAATCCTCAGTTTCCAACATTGTGTGAAGATGATCTGCAAAGCATTGTTCAGATGGGGTTTGGTCAAGAACCCAAACCACAATACAGGATTTCAATCATCCCACATGAAAATTGAACTGTGGTCACCATTGATTTGTCCTCAACTCAAGGCCCAGAGGCTGCTGTATATTAATGGATTTTTTTTACGAGAAATATTAAAAGAAAAATCTTGATGCTTACCTAAAATATAGTAGAATCACAAGTTGCTTCATTCACCAACTAAATTTGATTTGTTGGATGAAGAACTGTGTTGAATCAAGAAGGGTTGACTTTTGTTAAATCTATTTTCTATAACAGCTTTAGATATGTTACATATGATCTCTATAATTGAAATTGGTTTGATCTGTTTTTGCAGGAATAGTATGTATCCTGGGCAGTTGACTCGTCTCAGTTGTGAACTACAACTCTTTATGAGTTCAAGAAGAGCATACAGTCTCTAATGTTTTTGTAGTGGAAGTGGATAGAACCATAGATAGACTTGTGGATAGAACCATAGATAGACCTGTGGATAGAACCATAGATAGACCTGTAGACACCAATGCTTGCTTAAAGATGGGTTTTAAGCCACTGGTTTGGTATTGTCAGCCAGTGGCAAATGGACACTTTGGTTGTTTTCATCTACAATTTGGTTCTTGTGGGCCTGTGCTTATATCGAATATGGCTGACTACGAAAAATTTATCGCTATTTTTTAGTTTTTTTTATAGGTATTTCTTTAGTTCAATAACATAAAATTAGAACAATTTTAAAAAAAAAGAAAGGGGCTATCACGGCGTTTCTAAAAACGTCGCTAAATAGCATACCAACAGTTGGAGTTTTGAAAAACAGATACGGCGGCGTTTTTAAAACGTCGCTAAATAGAACGGTGATGTCATGTTACCGTTAGGGGAACTTTTAGCGGCGTTTTTCTAAAACGCCGCCTATAGTAATATAGCGACGTTTCTAAAGCACCATAGAGTTATAGCGACGGCCGCATCTTCGACGTTTGATGATAAACGCCGCACAAGGATTTAACGGCGTTTTTAAGAGTTATAGCGGCGTTTTTTAAACGCCTCTAAAACTCTAATTTCCAGCAGTGAAAGGTTCATGGGTCATGCCACGTGGGCGCCCAATTTTCAACATCTCCCACTCGCACATGAGTTGGCATGACACTGCCACATCTCTGTCTCAATCTCCTCAAAAATGAACAATCTCATACTAGCCAATGCATCGTGTGACCGCTGAGAACACCTGCATGTGGGAGCTCTATACTAGAAATTCAATATGAGTCAGCACACAGACATCAATCCAAAAATGAATAGAAATAGTGTCTCATGTACCCAGACCCATCTAGCTACATCGGTCCAAAAAACATTTCTAATCCCTCAAAGAGCATGTTTGACTCTCCTAGGTCCCGTATTATATTCACACCCAATCAGCATCCTATAGAGAGCGATGTGAGTCGTTGACAGTGAATATAGAGTAGAGATGTAGAACTAGATGATCATCCCTTCACTCTCATATCATTTAATTTGAAATTGACTGCTTTCCCAGTAATGTCCCTTAAAGCCGAATCATACATGACCGTAGGCAACAAACCAAAGTAGCTGAACATTAACTCCTCATCTTATGAAATAGTCAAAGGTCACAAAAGGCACAAAGTGAAATCATTTAGGGAAAAATGACTTTTAAGACTCACACGGTGAAGAAGTAGGGATCTATTCTTTCACCTGGCTAACGTGTCGATAAGCACATGCAGTACGAATGCATGTTATAATGGAGTAACTCTTCCAAAGAGTGATATTAAAGTCACACACCGTACAGATCTTAGTCTAGTCGCTCTTAAGCGCACAAGTCGCTTCCTAGCGTCTAACTCGAATTCTCTATTTGCTCACCTCTCAGGCATCAAATGAGATCTCGCATCTAGCTATCCATAACAGGCACATCATGGAAAAATGGGTACTAACATCCATATTTGGTCCTTAACACGACCTCATCTTGATTGTAACCAAGGCCACATACATAGTGGATTATTTAAGACTCTCTTGGCTCCAAATAAAAATAAACCACTAGTCTCATCCTTGCTCGCTCCCAAGAGCCAAGGGCGATTGCTTGTGTGAGTGAGCCAATCTTGCCTGTTGATATCATCATATGCTAATCATTATGAGACAAACCATAATAGTGTCAACATCTCACAATCTCACAACAAATAAGTGATCGATTTTAAAAAAATGACCACAGCTTGCGCAATTCTAGATTCCAAATATAAGCCTTATCAGCACCTCTTGTTATAAGTATATACAACGGAATCCACCATGTACGCCTCACATGAAGTGATTCAAGATCACTACCTCAATAACCTTTCTAAAGATATTTTGGTGACCAATTTGCGTTTATTCTGGATGCGCCTAACTAGCGCATTGAATCTTACAAGGGGCAAATTTATATACTACTAGTAAAGCATTCTATCCACAGTCTAATGAGCAAAGTCAATGTCTAAACAACTCAGTTGGCCATTTACCAACGATAACACTTATCATGCTGAATACGCCCACATAGCGTACTTTAGGCTCCCACAACAAAAAAAGAAGATCAAGGAATATAGGTCATTTGTTTCTCCCAAAGACAATCCGAGGATTCACTCAATAGCTAAGGCTCTGACTTTTACCGATAGGTAAGTTAATTGGTTTGCACTTTTGTATCTAGAATCATTCTAGGATATTCCTTATGTAAGTTATGAAAGACAAATCGGAAATTCTCCCAAAACAATCCTTAAGGATCATACATCCAAGCATATAAATTATATCACCCATGTCCATCATATCTAAAACAGAGGACTGCCTACCCTAGGTGGCGACAACCTTTTAAATTCCTAGCTCATAATGAATAAGTAAGGAAAAACTTATTTTGGACCATTGATCATGCCTCAATGGTCTTCATCGATTATTGTTGACCTATCATGGCTTGACGAAATCTAAGAACCACTATTTGGATAACTGTTTTAGGCTGTAAAAGATTTATTGGAACTAGTAACCTTATTGCGCTCCTAACTTTTCATCATAAAATCAGAAGATAAATCTCTACGGATCTACTTACCCAATTCTCCAACAAGAAGTTGGGTCACAATGTCCACAAATCAATATTCTAAACTTATGTCAATCATAGCCTAAGTCGAAATAACCTCACTCCCCAAGAGGAAGTCTTCTCATGGTCTACACTTTTCTCAATGGTGCGACTTTTCGGTATCTAGCGAGCCTTATGTCTCAACAATGACTATCCAAATTGTGCATAACTTTGGAACAGTTTTGCGTCATAATGGAAAGTCAACCGAATTATAGAAATGGTTAATCCTCAAAGATTTTGTCTTAAATCGCGCAACATTGATCCACTTTCTAAAAACAGGGGATTAGAGCCTTTGGCATTATCCTAGGCTCTTTATCATCTTGCAGAGCAATCATGAATGTTTCCCTCTCAATCACCCAGTGATGACGTGGAAAATTTTCACATTCGCTACCACGCAACTAAGAATGTAGAGTATTCTGCTCTAATGGAGTAATCCATTAGTAGACACATCGCTCCCACTGTCCCTAGGATATTAGAAATTTCTTTCATTCCAACTGAGGTTATATAAAGCGCTATACTTAGAATTCTTTTTTCTTATAGATTTCCAAAACTCTATTCACGTCACTTTACTAAGAAAATTTTACATGACTTAATTATACTACCACAAAACTGCTTGCCTATATGCTCATGACCCGGAGGATTACATGACAGCATACAATACTGTGCTAATGGAACCCTAGGTCTAACTTTGCAGCCTTAATGAGAAAGTAAAACAAAGATAATTGCTTAACAGTTACAGATCGCCCATAGATGACTCTCTGCTATAACCATTACTCAAATGGAGTGTAAAATCTGATATGGAGGGCACTTAGTTAGAATATAAGGCAACAAAACTAGTGCAATTCTCATTGGGAAAACATTTTGCGTCCATCATCCACCTAACATTAACAATATTTAATTCCTTATCTCTACTACACCATTGTGTTGTTGAGTACTAGGAATAATCAATTTTCTAAGCATCTATTTCTCTTCACAGAGTTTTCTAAAATAACTCAAATAGATACTCGCCACCTTGGTCAAAACTAAAGGCACGAAAGCCATTATCTCATTGATCTCAACCTCATATGTGCTATGTCAAAAATCATCTCAAAACTTTTGACTTATGGGAGATCAAATAGTCTTGACTCAGATGCATATCGTGATCTATAAATGTGTCGAGATTGAGGCTTAGCTATCATATCCTTACACATATCTAGTCACAAATATCATAGTGGACTAAATGCGCCAATACAAATGACTTTCTACGGCTTTCCTACTTATTTGTACACAACCATTACGAACAAAGTTACACATTCATATGAGAGTAGGATGTTACAAGCAAGTGGGCCCGAGAGGGCCTACTCAAACTATCCATGTCATCTTCTCATTAATGTGATTTAGTATAACAAACCACTAGTTTATGTCCAATGTCATAACCTAATTCCAATCATTCTAATGTGTGAGATCTCGAAGACAAGTTTAAAAGATTTAGGCCCAACTAGGTAATGACTCACAACTAATCATAAAAGGATGTCATGAAGATATCAAGTGCGCCTAAGTCGCAAATTTAACTAGTAAGTGCTAATCCCCTGCACCTTCAAGTCAATTTTATTCTCCATACACTTTACTGCATCTAGTTGAAAGATGATGATACTCCTCTTGCCATCTTTGTTTCTCACTTCATAGTTACTTGCAATTAATTCTACTATCCACAAGAATGAGAGAATAAGCTATTAATTTATGACAGCTCCTGAAGTAACTTAAGCGCGAATTATGCTAAAGAGTCTAATTCAACACAATGTTCTTACAAGTGATGTGTCAAAATCTTAGAGTCATTATAACCTTGTCGGTCTTGATCTTTTCATTACTATGTTGCAACGTTTGCGCTTAGTGGTAAACGTTATTAAAAAAACGTTAGCCTAGCTAAGGAATCATACAAAGAAGCACCTCCTCATGTCTTACACTTAACTGCGGAAACAGTAAGTGTCCAGACTTAGACAAGTTGGCAATGCTAATAGATTTTGCAGCCACTTGGCGCTAATCTTTTCACTTAGTGTTAATAGATTTTGC